AAAATTTTCTAAGTCATCAATAGCTTTTTGCAATGCAAGAATATATTTATATATTTTATTAAATGATTTTTTTGATTTATAATATTCTTTTAATTTATCTTTCTCAAAATCTATGCCTTGCTGAATTTCGCTGATTATATTATCATCTCGATCACTTTCATTTTTGTCATTTGTGTTTTTGTTTGGAGCCTATATATGATGTAAACTTATGAGATTAGACATAAAGTTGTGATGTAAACTTATGAGAATAAGACATAAAGGTAAGCTAAATTTTTTTCACATACCTCTATAAATTCAAAAGGTGACGAAATGTTAGCGAAATTCAATTCGGCTTTTCGGACGTCGTTAATAGTTTCGGAATAAGGAACTTTGTCTTCGCCCTTTTTTTCATTTCTCGATGAAATTATACTTTTCTTAATATTAAAGAAATTATTATTGTTTATATAATCCTCCGAAATGTTTTTTGAGGTTACAAACTTAATTGATTGGTCGATATTGGTGGGTTTGTATTTTTCGTCTTTAATTTCTTCAATTTCAATGATACAAAAATTTTTATCCATTAGTGCTTGATTTGAATGATTTTTATTTGAATTAACAAGATGCATGTAATTATAGAATAAATTTTCCATTTCTGAAGCAGAGTAATCACCGTAAAGCAAAATTATAAAATGATTCTCATTTGGATATGGCAAATTGATAAATTGAGATAAATTATTTGATCGACAGTGAAATAACGAAGTGTCTTTATAGTTCAATTTGGTATTAAAATAAAAATTATGATTTTTCATCTTGATAGTATGGTTTCTTCGTTCGCATAAATTAGATAAAATATTTTTCTCATTTGGAGAAAGCAAATTGAGAGATTGAGATAAAATATCATATTTAGAATTGATGTTAAAATTGTGATTAAGATGATATAATGCAGGATAGTAAGTTTGATTGTTCAGATATTCCGATAAACGTGTATAATCTTTATTTGTGAATAATCGATCTTTATCTGAGAAAATGGATTCAGATTTGTAGATATAGATAGTATTGATTCTTCGTTCGTATAATGCGAAGATTAAATTAGACAAAATATAATTCTCATTTGGAGAAGGAAAATTGAGAAATTGAGATAATGCATGATAGTAAGTTTGATTGTTCAGATATTCTGATAAATGCATATAATCTTCATTTGTGAATAATCGATCTTTATCTGAGAAAATGTATTCAGATTTGTAGATATAGATAGTATTGTTTCTTCATTCGTATAATGTGAAGATTAAATTAGGCAAAATATAATTCTCATTTGGAGAAAGAAAATTGAGGGATTGAGATAAAATATCATATAATGCAGGATAGTAAGTTTGATTGTTTAGATATTCCGATAAATGTGTATAATCTTTATTTGTGAATAATCGATCTTTATCTGAGTAAATGGATTCAGATTTGTAGATAGTACTTGTAAATAATAGGGAAAACCCGACAACCAGACCAGGGTAAAACAAGAGAGGTGGAATCGGAATCATATTCATTATTAAAATCGAAGATGCGAAAAACAAAGTACCAATAATCAAAGAAGTCAAAAAAATTAAAGCCAGGAGCAAACGAGAAATGAGATAAGAAAAAATGGTATAGGCAATTCTTAGCAATAAAGCTAAGAAACTTATAATTGACATTCTGTTATTTTTCTGTAATTTTTGAAAACTAGATGTTACTCTTTATAATATTTTTTTCATAAATGGACCTGTTCAAATAAGGAAACGATTAATTTCGATCGCGATTACTATTTTTCAAACATTGAAAAGATACTCCACGTTTGATATGTTTTACCATATAAATATAATGTATAACACGTATAAAATATTACATGCTATTACAAAAGCCTTTGTTCGTTATTGATTTTCTTGTTTAAATAAGGAGATCGTGGTTATTTGTTTACCTTTTTACAAAGCACAAAATGAAATTTATGTTGAACATTTTATTTGATCTATACGTAATTATACGCGAAGAAAGAGCTGCTCACAATTTCAAAAAGTCAAATAAGGAGATAAGGAGATAATTTAATAAAAAGCAGGCCCGTTACTATGTTACACTATTCAAAGCATGTCATTATCTATTAAAGATTTCTTGTAACATAATCTATTCGCGTAGTATCGCATTTTTAAAGTCTTAATTAACAGCAATGATCCTTAGTAATATCAAATGACGGTTAAAAGAAAATCTTTGTGAAAAAAAATAGATTACGAGAATCTTACTGCAAAAAGTCTTTTGTCCGAATGGTTAATTTTTGTACTAATAATTGGAATTCTTGCGCAAAACTGTACGCGTAATGATTTGCTTACATAATCTTTAATAACTTCTATATATAGATTTTAACTTTTCACATAATCTGAAACAAGAACAAGTCTGAACAAAAATTTTTGCTTTTCTGAGTATTAGATTAATTTAGAATTCTAAACAAGAAGATTTCTGAGGTTAAAATGGTTTATAGTCGTTTGACTGAATTTTATTTTATGTAATAGGCTTGGTTTGTAATTAAGGGTGTTATCTGACAATTTTGATTGGTAGTCATTAGCCAATCAAAATTAAGTTTGATTTTGATTGGCAAAGATGATCGACAATTTGTTAAAAGAAAATTCTTTTGTCAAAAAGATTCTGTTAGCAAACCTTTACGCGCGCTGTTTGGGTAAGATTTCTAATTATAGTACAGAAGTCAACCATTTATATATTTTTAAATTAATAACTTTTCGCATAATCTGAAACAAGAATTCTACAGAAGAAAATTTCTATTAATAAATATTATTTTTTGCAAGAATTTAACTTACGAATATATAATAATATGAGAATGATAATGCGGATCAGTATATATTCAATTACTATTTGATGCTAAAACTGAACTAATCCATTCTTACAAAGGATTTATAAATCGAATTTTCTTATTCCAAAGTTATCTCTGTAGATTAAAAAATGAACTACAAATAGCTAATCACTGTATTAATTATTGGGACAAAAAGACTGAATATATATAAAAAAAAATCAAAAGAATTCTTAGTAAAAAATATAAAAAGATGGATTTCAGACTCTACAAAAAACTAATGGCACTCAAACATGACTTAGGCTTAAAAAATAAACCACAAGTCTCGAATGTAGTTCAACTCAATCTTGATTTTAAAAATAATCCATTACTTTTAAATGTAGCTCGAAACATTGCACTTTCTAAAAATCTCATTGTTATTGCTAGGGCTGGTATTTCTTGTAGCGGAGGGATACCCGTAAGTAATCTCATATTGATTTTAACAACATTTTTTTATTAGTTGAAAAATTATATTTTTATATTACCAATAGGATTTTAGAAGTTCAAATGATCTTTTTGAAATGATAAAACAAAAATATCAGGGTACCTTTAGTTCGGTCAGAGACTTATTTGATTCTAATTTACATATAACTGACGAAGCTGTTGAAGCATTTTATAATTTCATGGGTGAATTAAACAAATTAGTTTTAAAAGCTGAACCCACAGCTACTCATTTGTTTATAAAAAAATTGGTAGACATGAAAAAATTAAAAAGAGTATATACACAAAATATAGATAATCTCGAAAAAAAGGCAGGATTAGAATTTTGAAATTTTGAAAAATTTAAACGTTGCCAAGCACAAGTAGTTCAATTGCATGGAACATTGGCAAATTTACAATGTAACGTTTGTACAAATGTCTATTCTTTTACACAAGAATATTGTGATATTTTCACGAAAGTTGAAATTCCAAATTGCCCTAAATGCGAAGAAAGAGGTAAATACAAAGCATCATTATTATTGAATTAAAATAACAAAACCAAGGTTTAAGATTATTAACGACTTTAATAAATAAAATATAAAAGAAATTTACAAAACAAACGAAAACACACTATTGGATAACTAAAACTGGCAGTAATCCTTTATGGTGACAAACATCTCAAAGAATTAAAAATTGAAGAAATTGCAGCATATAATAAAAATAAAGCCGATTGTTTGATAATAATGGGAACTTCTTTAAGAATTCCTAGAGTAAAATGTCTTATAAAAATATTCGCTAAAGCAGTTCATGATCGTAATGGCTACGTGATAATGGTGAATGCTACGAATGTAGTTACTAAAGAATGGAATGGGATCATTGACTATCAAATAATAGGTACTTGCGATGAGTGGGTTAAACTTGTTAACATGGAATTATCAAGCGTCAAAGAAAGGAAAAAAAGAAAAAGAAACGAAATTAATCATAGTACCGGTAATAAAAAAAAGAAAATATCTCTGACTAAATGATATATTTTTCTTTATAACTTATAAATATGTACTTTAAAATTTAGATTGTGATTAGCGAAACGTTTAAATAAATGTTAAAATTTATTATAATAATTGGCACATGATGTATTACAAAAAATATGGCACGTGGAATGTTGCATTTATAATTGTTATATCTAAAATAAAAGTTTTTCTATTCAAATAATATTAATTGGTGAAGAATAACAAAATTCTTTGCGGGTTTAACCAAGATAATATGGTGAATGTAATTTATTTAAATTATCACGCACTTCAAATATTTTATTTGTTTAATATCTTTATCTACTTTTCACGTAAAAAGTTATTTTCACAAATCATCCTTTAATTTTGTTTAAGAATCATTTATGCTTAAAACTATTAATATCAAAAAAAATTTTCATATATTACAATATTTGTAATTATGTGTAAAATTTTTTTCTTATGAATAATTAGGGTAAAATTAAGGTAAAGTTAGGAGTTAGTTTAGGCCAGCTGTTGCCGATCATTTAATGCTGGTCACTGATAGTTATCTGACTCCTTTCGAAAATCTTTACTTATCATTATGGTTTCTTCCTATCAGTATTAAAATTTAATTTTTATATGTAATACTATCTTTGTTTCAGCAGTGTTTTATTATGAAAATAAATTTTTAAATACTTGCAAAATTTAACACTCGGAAATGTAAAACTATTTTCTTTTCAAATTGTCCTTTTTCGAGAATCATTACGCGAAAAGTCAATGTCATTTCCAAATGACCCAAAATTTGAATAGACCTCAAATAAGCTGTCATTTTGAGATCATTTGAGGGCATTTGAAAAATTGGCAAATGACCAGGTCATTTACCATCACTGTTATGTCCTATGTCATGTGATTTTTAAAATAATTAATTATTTCCTATCATCGATGTTTATTAATAACTGACAAATTTTTGAGAGTCAAAAATTTTTTTCTGAAGAAAAAATATAGTGTCCTAATTAGGAATCTACGAACCAGGTATCTGATACATTCCTAATTAGAAAAAGTTGATTCTTTAAAGAATTCATTCAATTTCAATTGACAAATTTTGAGTAAAAATTTTTGTGAAGTATTACTTGAATAAATTTATAGTATTAAACTTTCATAAAAAAATTTTATAGACAGATCTCTGGTCCCATTGAGGTGGACGATGGATTCCAAAATAAAATTGTCTAGCCGGCATTACCACCATTATTTCACTTATATGAATAAAAAAATTTTATTTAAAAATGAAACATATGCAAAGTCACATGATCTGAAAATTTTTGCAAGGCAGGTTGATTTTTCTATTTAATTATTGACCGGTCATGACCGTCATGAGTAATACTTAGCAAAGAATTTTGAAAATAGGTATAAATTCGATAAAAAAAAAAGTACTAATTTTTTCAATTGATCATGTACGGGCTTTTACTGGTGCCTGTTCCTATTATATTACATCTTGGATTAATTGACTTTAAAATGTAATTTATCAGATTGTGGAAGAAAAATTGTCGCTCGCACTTGCAAGTATTCTTGAATATAATCGAAAATTTCTTGACAGTATCTTCAATCGTTTTAAGTGTCTGGGCATTGAAATATTTTTTTTGATTAATGTAATTTTTTGGGTTAAAACCACCTCTTAGTTTCCGTTTCCTAATATATTTCCCAGCTTTCAGATATCTAAAAATTAGGATGTCGATTTCTTTCTGTGTTAATTTGGTCTGATCTTCTATTAAAGTCCTCTTTTTAACCTTGATATTCTTAACATTGAAATATGAATTTAAAGATGTTTTATCGTAAATAGTAGCATTTTTGTGATTTTCACAAACGTTGAGAAAAGTTTGTGGATTAAATTTTCAAAGGATAGTTGTAAATTCTTGAATGTTTTCCAATTGGTATCTAAATGTTAAATCATATATCGGATCAATTGTGATAATAACATCACCAAAAAGCTCCTCCATGTGGAATACATGCTCATGATTCTTAACCAAGATGAATAAGATGTTGATGTTGAAATATCTCATGTTTGTCCATAAATTCGTCAAGTAGTTGTATTTAGAATCTAAAAAAGTCTCACTCGTGATATGCAAAGAATATTGGATGTTGTCCTTACCTCTTTGTTTATCAAAATTACTAACATCCCGGCAAAGAATTTTAACAAAATGTTGGAATGCGTAGACATCATTGACATTTTTTATCTCATCTGAGAATTCGAATTTCTGATCAACGTAAACTGGAACTATAAGATTTTGGTCCTCATTATTTTGAATTTTTAGTGATAGATTAGACTTTTTTTTATTCATGTTTGTTGATGTATTGATATTTTTTTTGAGCGTAAAATTTAAGAATGACTCTTTAAATAATTAATTACTGAAATCTTATGAATTACAGTATTTATAGTTAAGAAATGATATAAATAACTAAACCCAATACCACCAATTAGCAAAAATTTTTACGCGTCATAGCATTCGTTTGATAAATCCTTTTGTTTAACTCTTTTTGTTTCATAATTAATAATAAGTAAATTAAAGGAATAGTTGCGAAATAACTTTTACACGTGAAAAGCCAATGAGCTTTAAATTAGGTAAAGATATTAAGCAAAAAAATGTAGTTTTAGTAAGCACTAGTAAAAAGGAGGGCGATCAACGCGCGTAAGACTTGTTTCATTGAGAAAATAACTTTTATAAATAGCTAAATTAATTTTTGAATAACTTTGTATAGAAATAAAAATTAAGTCTATGTAAAATAAATTAACAACTATGATATCTGATATATATAAATTAGTTTATTTAGCTGATTCTTGAAATAAGGACAAATGCTCTTACATATACACAAAAAAATAACATTGGTCTAGTGTTACGTGTAAACCAAAATTTTTATTAATTAACGTAATTTGTATAGAGTACTTAATTTTACTGGCAAAGTCCAATAACTACGCGCGTTTCTTTGTTTAATATCCTTACCTAATTAAAGATACGATACAAAGACTTTTTACGTAAAGATTGTCAATTTTGAAAGAATATTCCCGAGTTAATTGCTCCAATAATCACTAATAAGCAAAAAATTTTACACACTGAGTTTACGCAATTTGTATTAGTAACGTATTTTGAGTAAATGTTTTTAAGAAACAAATATTTTCTCACGCGTCTTTTATCAAAATTTGTAATTATAAGTTATCATAGAAATCAAGAACATTCGATTCTTACATAATTAAGATTCTGTTAGAATGGATGGATAAGCGATTACTAATTATTTATCGAGCTTTGTGAGTAAATTCTTGAAACAAAGAATGAACCTTTTTTAGAATAAAATTGTTTTTCACTCTGCAAAAAGTCTTTTGTCCGAATGGCTAATTTTTTTGTACTATTATTAGAATTCTTATGATTTTAATGAATAATAAAATTATATAAAAGGCGTCTATAGCTCCAACGAAAATATTTAATTCAAACTAAAATGCCATCAACACGACATCAAAAAATACTTCTGTACGAATTCTGTATCAAACGAAATACGACATTGCCAATCCACAATATTAATGTGCGTTTTTGTCCAATCTCAGTCACAAAACGGTTGAGATCTAAAAACTCAATAATTTATCAAATTTTACAAAAACATAAAAAAAGAATTAGCAAACATGAAATTTACAAAAAAAAATACGCAAGTTATTTAAATTTTTGTAACAAATGTCAAAATTTACTTTCAAAAATTTGGTTGACTGAAGATGAACACTGTATACCAGACGGAGAAGATGCATTCTCAGTAGCACTCATAATTTCTCGATTGATTGACATATCACAAACTTTATAAATTTTTTATTAATAAATATTGTTGCCAAAATCCACAGCGCATTATAGCATTTTGTTAAAAAAAAACCTCGTACAAAACTTCACTTCTTTTATTTCAGTTTTAATACTGTACTAAATTCTAATTTCGGTGGCAAATAATTAGTGACAATTATATTAGAATTGTAATTCTAATTTTCGGTGACAAATAATTCTTTAATGACAATTAAATTAGAATTATTTGTCACCGAAATTATAACTATGTATTGTTTTAAAATAAAAAATTTGAATTGTTAATAATTGCGTAATTAATCACAAATCAAACCCCTGCAAAATAGAAGATCTTATGCCTGTAATATAAATTTATTTGTAGATTGTACAAAAAATTTTTAGCTCTCAAAATTTGTCAATTAAATTTATTGAATCCTAATTAGGAATGCATCGCCTGATAGAATCATCTTAGGACTGTTGATCCTCTTACAAAAAAATTTTTGACTCTCAAAATTTGTCAATTAAAATTGAATGAATTTATTTAAAAATCAACTTTGAATCTAATTAGGAATGCACGTCTCACAAATCAAAATCAATTGTTGATTTTGATTGGCTAACTGCGATGATCGACAATTTCTATACAAGTCACTCTATAGTTTAGACGAAACCATGTGATATATTTAGAATTCAAAAGATTCTCGCTCATGGTATCCAAAGAATATTGGATGCGGTTGTCCTTACTCGGTTGCATATTAAAATTTTCAAGGTTACCAGCAGTCGAGCAAGCTTTTTAACAAAATGTTTATATGCGTAGGTGTAATCTGATAATTCGAATTTCTTATCAACGTAAACTAAAACTAAAAGATTTTGATCCATTTGATTTATTCTGATTTTTTTTTTTTATTAGAAGCGTTGGTAGAGCAGTTAAGGGTGTTTAAATATTAGGCAAGCAAACCTTCCGTCATTAATACATAGTTAATTTTAAGTAAACTATACGGTCTTTTGCCTGAATGGAATAAAATATTATACCATTTTTAGAATTAAAATAATGACATGTAAGACGAAATCCAAATTGGAATTCTTCAAAAGTTTTTATAGTTAAACTATGTGAAGTGATATGTATAGAATTCCAAATTGAATCTAATTGGTACTCGATAAATTAACCACTCGAAAATTGCAAGAATACTTTGTTCAAAATTGGTTTGTTTTAAGTTATGCAAAAAGTCTATACCGCTTTAAAGTTAAGTAAGAATATAAAACAAAGAAATGAGTGAAGGATTGGATCGTTTAATTAAGTAATGGCACAAAATAGAATAAGATATTTAATGACACGTAAATAGAAGTATTATTGAAAACCACTCGGAAATGAGCAAGAATTTTTTGTTCAAAACCTGTTTCATGTAATTACACGAAAATTTTGTGCCGCATTTAAATCAAGGATTAAACAAAGAAATTGAGCTTAAGTACGCATAGGGATCAGATCCATTTAGTAGATATTTAATTACGCGAACAGTTATGTCGCATAGAGATTGGACTTTGTTTAGTACATTATTCTGTTTGATTGTATTAATCATTTTGATCTTAATTGTATACTATATTATACGGTCTTTAGTCCGAATTGTTAACCATTTTGATAAGCATGAAACAAAGATTCTCACGCGTATTCGGTCTTTTATACAAATGGTTAATCAGAAGAAGTAACATGGGAATAAAGAAAATTCGATTCTTATATTCATTAACGTCAGTATTCTAAGTATTACATTTATTTGGATTATTTTGTTTCTTACAAGATTAATAAATTCAAATTACCCCTAATATAATCCGTTTTAATAATTAATAAAGCCTTTTCCGAGTGGTTAAAAACATTATAGAATACTAAATGATATTTTCGAATTTGGATTTGTTCGAAAAATTTTTTTATTTGTAATCCACGTGATGTTGATCATAATTGCCCTTAATAGAGATAGAATTCCTAATTGATACTCGATAAATTAACCACTCGAAAATTGCGGTTTGTTTTAAGTTATGCGAAAAGTCTATGCCGCTTTTAAGTTAAGTAAGAATATAAAATAAAGAAATGAGTAAACGATTGACCCAGTTAGTATAATCAAGTAATGGCACAAAATAGAATAAGATATTTAATACAATAATTTGTGAAAAGTGTCTTTACTAAATTAATATTATTTGAATTGCAGACTTTCATGTATAGAATTTCGATTAATTAGAAATCACACTCCGTATGTACGACTTTGAAAGGTATAAAAGATATAAATTTACGTTCTTCTATTCCTGCCATTCAGTCAAATTCAAATCAAATCTATAATTACAAACAGGAAACCAATTATCAAACTATTACAAAAGAACAATTACTTTTTTTTTTTTTTTTTTTTTTCAGTATTAAGGTGACCTCCTTGGCCTGGGGACTTTTTATTAGTAATTATTAGTTATTACAG